GACCTGTACACACTGACCACTGAGTCCCCTCAGGTAGCTGCGTCTGCGTCTGCTTCTGCGTCAGGTCAGCTGTCGCCCCCCTGCTCGTGTCGCTCCCTGTCTCACAGGACTGTCCTCTGGCACCACCGCCTTGGTCACCCGTCAGTGCAGCGCCTTCGCGGCATGCACTCCAGGTACCTTTTCTCTGGTCTTCCCAGGGTTCTCCCTCCTCTGCCACCCTCGCCTGCTCCTCCCTGTCTTCCCTGTGTCGAGGGGCGGCAGCGCGCCGCTCCCCACTCTTCCTCGTTCCCTCCCACAGAGGCTCCCGTGCAGACTCTCCACCTGGACGTGTGGGGCCCTGCCCGCGTCCGGGGACAGGGCCACGAGCGGTACTTTCTGCTGGTAGTCGACGACTACACGCGCTACACCACGGTCTTCCCCTTGCGTACCAAGGGTGAGGTCCCTGATGTCCTGATCCCCTGGATCCGTGCTGCTCGTCTCCAGCTCCGCCAGCGGTTCCAGTCGGACTTTCCTGTCCTACGTCTGCACTCTGACAGAGGTGGCGAGTTTTCCTCTGACCTCTTGGCAGCCTACTGTGCGGAGCACGGCATCCGCCAGACGTTCACTCTCCCGGCCTCTCCACAGTAGAATGGGGTTGCTGAGTGCCGCATTGGTCTTGTCATGGAGGTCGCTCGTACCTCCATGATCCATGCGGCTGCCCCCCATTTCCTGTGGCCGTTTGCAGTGCAGTACGCCACACATCAGCTCAACCTCTGGCCCCGTGTCTCCGTTCCGGAGAACTCGCCCACCCTGCGTTGGACGGGGGAGGTTGGTGATGCGTCGGTGTTCCGAGTCTGGGGATGTCGAGCTTTTGTCCGCGATACGTCCGCGGACAAGCTCTCCTCCCGTGCCGTTCCCTGTGTCTTCCTTGGCTTTGTCCCTGACGCGCCTGGCTGGCAGTTTTACCACCCCACCTCGCGTCGTGTCTTCGCCTCTCAGGACGTCACCTTTGACGAGTCGGTACCCTTTTACCGTCTCTTCCCCTACCGCACTGCCCCGCTCCCCCCCCCCGCCGCTCTTCCTCACCCCAGGTGTCCCGTCGGTAGACCCCCTCCCTCCCCAGGGTGCTGCTCCCTCAGGTGTTTCCCAGGTAGACCCGGTCGAGCCTGTCGAGGTAGCTGTTGACTCTGGTCCTGCGCGAGGTGCTGAGCGTGCTGAGCCTGGGGGTGCGGAGACTGGGGGTGCTGAGTCTGGGGGTGTGGAGACTTTGGGTGCTGATCCTGGAGGTGCTGCGACTGGGGGTGCTGAGCCTGGGGGTGCTGAGACTGGGGGTGGTGAGACTGGGGGTGCTGAGCCTGGTGTCGCTCCCTCTTCACAGCAGCTGCGTGAGTGGTACTCTCAGCGCTACAGCCTCCGTCGGGGGGCTTCTGGAGCTGGGGGGTCTACTGGAGGCGGGGCTGGTGGCCCCGCGGGTGCAGTGTCGCAGCCACAGCCTCCCTCCCCTCAGTGGCTATGTGAGTGGTACGCTCGGCGCTGCAGCATCAGGAGTGGAGCTCCTGGTGCTGAGGCACCACCGGCTGGAGGCCCTGCTGCTACTGGAGGTCCTGGTGCTGCTGGAGGTGCTGCTGGTGCTACTGGAGGTACTGGAGCGGCTGGAGGTGCTGCTGGTGCTGCTGGTGCTGCTGGAGGTCCTGGAGCTGGTGGAGGTGCTGCTGGTGCTGCTGGAGGTCCTGGAGCTGCTGGAGGTGCTACTGGTGCCGCTGGAGGTACTGGTGCTGCTGAAGGTGCTGGTGCTGCTGGAGGTGCTGCTAGTGCTGGTCCTGCTGGAGCTGCTGCTGGTGCTGCTGGAGGTGCTGGAGCAGCTGGAGGTGCTGGAGCAGCTGGAGGTGCTGGTGGTGATGCTGGAGGTTCTGGTGCTGTCTCTACTACTTTTGGGGGCGCTTCACGGCCGCGGCCGTACTTCGTTCCACTCCTTCAGCAGGTTCTTGGTCAGCCACCTCCTCCTAGTCCTCCTCCCTCCTTAGAGTGTCCTCAACCTGTTCAGTCGCAGTCACAGCTACCGCCTGCCTCGCCACTTCCTGGTCCTTCTCCCTACACTGGTCCGACAGGCGGTCTTACAGAGCGTCGTGAGCCTGAGTCTCGTCCTGTGTCGCCTGTGTCTCGTCCTGTGGCACCTGTTTGTACTGCTCGCACTGGTCGCCGTGTTCCGCGTGAGCGTCCTCCTGCTGTCCCTGGCACACACTATATGACTCTGCGTCCTTCCACTGCTCCACAGCGTGTCCCTCTGCCGTCTCCTCCTGCGTCCTCTCTTCCAGTTCTTGCTGACCCGGAGTCCGACTCTCTTCGTGCTGCCAGTCCTACTGTCACGCGTCTCCTGGCCACTGCTGTCACTGACCCTTCCTTTGAGTCTGCTGCCGCGTCTGCCCTAGTTGCTGAGCTTGTCGACTTTGCTGCTCACTGTCATCTAGACTACGCTGCGAGTCTTGTTGCTGAGTCTGAGTCTGTCTGTCCTCCGTCCGTCGGGGGTGAGTGTGCTCTAGGCACGGACGTCCTTGAGGATAGACAGGAGGACCTTGAGTGTCTTGCAGCCGCTGCGCCTCATCTCGTGTCCATGCTGATTGCCCCTGAGGGAGACCCGGATGCTCCAGACATCCCGACCCCGCGCTCTTACGCTGAGGCGATCGCGGGTGAGTACTCCTCTCAGTGGCAGACAGCTATGGACGCAGAGATGGCATCCTCGAAGTCCACTGGCACTTACGTAGACCAGGTTCCCCCTCCTGGGGCGAACATCGTCAGTGGCATGTGGATTTTCAGGGTGAAGCGGCCGCCGGGTTCTCCGCCTGTCTTCAAGGCTCGTTACGTTGCTCGAGGCTTCAGTCAGCGAGAGGGAGTAGACTTCTTCCAGAACTTCTCCCCCACCCCGAAGATGACCACTCTTCGGGTGCTACTGCACGTTGCTGCTCAGCGTGACTACGAGCTTCACTCTCTTGACTTCAGCACAGCTTTCTTGCAGGGCAGCCTGCACGAGGAGATCTAGCTGCGCCGCCCTCCTGGCTTCACTGGGTCGTTTCCTCCTGGTACCCAGTGGAGCCTCCGGCGGCCGGTCTACGGTCTCCGCGAGGCGCCACGTGAGTGGCACGACACACTGAGGACTACTCTTGCGGCACTTGGGTTCGCGCCTTCTACTGCTGACCCGTCGCTGTTTCTGCGCACTGACACTTTGCTGCCGCCGTTCTACATCCTCGTGTACGTCGACGACTTGGTCTTTGCCACTGCTGACACTGATGCTCTCGCCCACGTGAAGTCGGAGCTGCAGAAGAGACACACGTGCACAGACCTGGGTGAACTGCGCAGCTACCTTGGCTTGCAGATCACCCGGGACAGAGCACGCCGCACCATCACACTGACTCAGTCACACATGGTGCAGCAGGTTATTCAGCACTTCGGCTTCACCTGGTCCTCAGCACAGGCCACTCCTCTGGCTATATGTCACTCGCTCTCAGCTCTGCCTTCGGATGAGTCCGTAGAGCCGAGTGATCCTTACCCAGAGCTAGTTGGTTGCCTCATGTACCTGATGACTTGCACTCGTCCTGACCTAGCGTACCCTCTTGGCCTTCTGGCCCGCTACGTGGCTCCTGGCAGGCACCGAAAGGTGCACTGGGATGCTGCAAAGAGGGTATTGCGCTACTTGTGCAGTACATCGGGCATGGGGCTCGTGCTTGGAGGAGGGAGCTCAGTTGTCCTCACTGGGCACTCAGACACTTCTTGGGTTGACGACCAGGCTACTCAGCGGTCGTCACAGGGTTACACCTTCAGCCTTGGCTCTGGCTCAGTTTCGTGGCGTTCTACGCGTTCGTCTTCAGTTCTCAGCTCCAGTTGTGAGGCTGAGATCTACGCCACAGCCATGGCTGCACAGGAGTTACGCTGGCTCACCTACCTGCTGACCGACCTGGGAGAGCGGCCTCGTTCTCCTCCAGTGCTGTACGTCGACAACAAGGCTGCCATTGCCTTGTGTGAGGAGCACAGACTGGAGCATAGAATGAAGAACATCGCTCTACGTTACTTTCTAGCTCGAGAGCTGCAGCAGCGCGGTCAGCTTCGTCTGCGTTACGTGGCCACTCAGCCCAACACTGCTGATATATTCACCAAGGCACTTCAGCCTGGTGATCATCAGCGCTTCTGTACTTTGTTAGGGCTTGTGCTTACTTTGCCTCACTTGCTGTAGACCTTTCCTGTACTGTGATCTATATACTTATACCTGCATGCTTGCAATGCTAGGTAGAGATCACTGTGATGTTTGTGATGCATATTTGCCTCTGCATATGAACTGGCCTTGTGGCTCTTTGCTTGTGCTCAGTGTGTGTGGTGACTTTGTGATCCACCCTGAGCTTGCATTCTCTTTCTTGACTGGTCTTGTGACCCCTTGCTCTACCCCACTTAGCCTATGGGGGTGTGTCAAACATTATATATGTTATTGTTGTGTAGGCTATAGCGGGTTAGCCTTTAAGGGGTATATCATTCTAGGGTTTGCTACTTGTATCACCCAATGTTCATAGTTCAATCACTTGTTGATTCTGACACGCAAAGGCGCAGCCAAGCGAACGCCTTACACGTAAAGGCGCGGGCGGGCATTGAAGCGGCACACCCGCAGGCTCCGGCGGACCCCTGGCCCCTGCAGCTAGGGGACCTCCTCCACACCCTGGAGTAAGGGGAGGTGCTAGGGGGCGGGTAGATGTAGAGAGGTATATTTGCATGTTCAGCCTTCTGCTCTCCGTTGACCGTAATGCTTGTACCAATCACTGCATTAATGCAAAGGACCGTTCAAAGAGGGTAGAAAGCCGTTGGGTGTTCAGGGTAGGGTTGAGAGGAGTAAAATAGGGTTGGAACAGTGACGAGGGATGCACAACCAACATGCGCTTCAATGGTTGGCCACTTTGAGCCAGACAACTCCTCACAACCCTGCATGAACCCGTTCCCACACACTCCCGCTCGCCTCCCTCTCCCACCACCTCCCACCCTCCTCAGCCTCCTCTCTCTCCCTCCCACCCCTCTCCTCTCCCACCCCGCCTCCCTTCCACACCTCCCCTTCTCCCCACAGCCCGTCGCACCTTGCTCTTGATTGGTCGGCCCAGCTGGCCCCTATTGTTGAGCCCCCATGTGAACACCCTACCGCTCTCCATCACAGCAACGGAGTGATACTGCCCAGTCTCCACCGCCACCACCTGCCCCTCCCCCGTCAGCCCCTCCACCGGCGCAGGCCGCCAAAACGCGCCGTCCGCGCGCCCCAGCAGCCCCGCGGGGCGCCTGCGCGCGTCCCAGTCGCGCCCCCACGACAGCACCACGCCCCCCGGAGTCACTACCAGGGTGTGCCCGCTCGCCGCCACCTTCGACACCCCCACGCGCCGCAGCACGCCCCCCACGCGCATCACCAACGCGAACTCGTCCGCGGAAGTATTCCCCCCCGCCCCTGCGCTTCGGCCAGAGCGACACGTAGGATGGACCCGCGGAGAAGGCTGGGAGGAAAGGCGGAAGGAAAGGCGGCGGATGACGAGGCGCCCGAGGGGACGGACGCGTGGAAGGCCGAGTTGAGAGTCAACAGCCCGCGGTGCATGCCCCCGCCGCCGGGCTGGCGCCGCGTGGTTGACGTGAACATGGCGGGCGGGTGGGGGCTGGATGCTGGGGGGATGCCCCAGGTGAAGAGGCGGCCGTGCTGCGTGATGGCGAGTGTGAAGTACCGCCCTGCCACGATCGCCAGCACTCGCTCGCGCGCCAGCAGCCCTCCCACCAGCCCAGGCCGGAAGCCGTCCTCCTGGTGGGGGTGGGATATGGGAGCAAAGAGGTGAGGTGGGATGGGGAGGGAGGGGGAGGAATGAGGAGGCGAGCGCATAATACTGCGTTATAAGTAATTCTGAAAGTTCGCGTATGTGCTGTATGTTGGCATTGAGAGCAAGAGCTGTTGCTGCATGATGGCTTGTGTGAAGTACCGCCCTGCCACGATTCTTGAGGCGCCTCAAAACCATTTCGCCACGCACCACTAATTTTCCCCCAGCCAGTTCTGCACACGCACATGCACGCACCCCTCTGTAACCGCCTCCAGATTTTCGATGTGCTGGTTCTGCTGGCGGGGGTGTGGTTGTGATGACTAGGGGGTAACGGGGACAGACAACATTGAATTCCCCGATGCATGTCATCCGGTGGAAGTTAGCTTCGTGTTAGCACTCCATTTTAGTGAGTCGCGGCATTATCGAATATCGAATCTCGTCGCCGCGCCACCACCCCAGCAGCGAGCGTACTCCGTCTAGTTCAGTTCAGAGCATACGTCTCTCGTGGGTCCTCTCTCCCCGTCACAACTTATCGTCTTTCGTCACCATCTCGGAAGTTCCATGCGACACTATTGCTGCGCCATACCCCTCGCGCCCACTCTGATCCTCTCGGTTCCGCGCGCCCACGCCTTTATGCGGCTTCCGCCTCCGGTCCATCAACGTCAGCGGTTGCCGATCTGTCAAAGTTCGGCTACAGGTCGACGGCGGAAGATGTGACGGAGGGCGTCGATTTGAGCGGCAAAGTGGCAATCGTGCTGGAAAAAGGGATTGGCCCGCGAAACAGGGTCACCCTCGAAATCGGTTGACGTGACATGAGTCGCGGAGCACTCTCGGCAATGTTACCAAATTGGGGATGCGACTCAGGAAATCCTTCGCGCCACACTTCGTGGAAGCAAAGAAATCGTCTGCGCCAGTGCAGTAATTTCGAGAAACGAAGCTACCGAGACGGTTTGTGAAGTAGTCAGGGCGTGTCCCTTTTATTAGCATCAACTTGGTAACACCCAACCAAAGTTAGGAAGGATGAGGCAATTTTTGGGAATGGAGACTCCGGTTTCGGGTTTAGGCAATATAGGAATGGAAAAGGAAGGGGAAAGGAGGAAAGGGAAAAGAAAACGGAGAGGAAGTGGGAGAGAATGGGGAACAGCAAGGTGGGAACAGAATGGTATGGGAAGGGGAAAGGGGGATGAGAGGAGGAGGAAGGGGGCTGGGGGTGGGGTTGGCACGGACGCGATACCGTAGTTGTGAGGTACGGCAGCAGCACGCGCAACGGCGGTGTGCGACGTTCTCTCCGACTCCCCTTCCACGTTTTTTCCTGGCTTCCACCCGAGGCGCTTTTACCACGCGCATTTCTTCCACGTCTTGGTTGTGTCGCCGTTTCTTGCTCGTCCGCTCGTCGTCGCCCAGATTTCGCCCTCCTCTCCTCTTTTCCACCCTAGTTTCAGGCTCCTCTTTCCTCCTCCTTGTCATTCGTGGAAACCGTATGGAGGGTTCTTCTTGTCATGTGTGAAAAACGATTCCCCCTTTCCTCCGTTCCTCCTCCACGCGCGCCCAGCTCTGCTCCGCATGCGAACCTCTTCCTTTCTAATAAGGTTTCTCCCCCCTGCGTGCCTCCTCACCCGCGCGCAATCCCTCTCCCACCCTGCTTTCCCCCCTCTCCTCCCTCCCTCCCCCCCCCTCCCCCCCCCCCCCTCGCGCCTTTCCCCCCCCCCTCTCCCCTCTCCCCCCCCTCTTTCCCCACCGCTTCCCTGCCCCTGCGAATCTCCTCCTCCCTGGTGAATCCCCTTTCCCCCTTGCGCGGATCTCCCCCCAAGGCGCCAGCAGCGGCACGGAGACAGCGCTGCGAGGCGCGTGCGCAACACGGAGGCGTGGGAGGCCGCCAAAGCCGCCATCATCAAGGACATCGAGGCGCGATGCGCGGAGGCGGCGGGGGTTCCGGCGGCGGTGCGCGAGCGCGTGAGCGTGATGCCTCTGGATCTAGCGTCGCTCAAGTCGGTGCGCGCGTTCGCCGCGGACTATCTGCGCCTCAACCGCCCGCTTCACCTGCTCATGTGCGCGCGGAGGGGGAGGGGGAGGGGGAGGGGGAGTCTGGGAAGTGGAAGAGGGAGGGATGGGGGGGAGAAGGGAAGGGGCACGGGGTGATACAGGGAGGAGGGGCAGGGGGAGGGGCAGGGGTGAGGGGGAGGTGAAGGGGGGGATTAAGGGAAGGGGAAAGGGTGGGGGCCTTGTGGCCGGGGGAGAGCTGAAGTTGCGTCTGAAATGACCTGCTGTTGGTGTGTCCCATCAACACACCTGCCTTCTTCCTTCCTCCCTCTTTCCTTCCTTCCCTCGCTCCCTCATTCCCTCTTCCTCCTTCCCTCCCTCCCTGCCTCCCTGCCTATCCACCTATTATGCCAGTCATTCTACCTTTCCTCTTTACTTCATCTGCTCGTCCAGTCCCTTTCCCCCCTCGACGCACCCACCCCACTGTCCCCTTTCCCTCCTCGCTTCCCATCCCACGACCCCTCCTCACCCTCCCCACCAATCCCCCATCCCACAACCCCCCCTCACCCGCCCCACCAATCCCACCACGGCCCATCCAACCTCACCCAACCCCTCCCCACTCCACTCCACTGGGCAGCAACAATGCGGGCGTGATGATATGCCCTTTCATGCTTACAGCGGACGGGTATGAGAACCAGTTCGGCACCAACCACGTGGGTAAGTGTTGGGGAGCAGCAACCACGTGGGTAAGTGTTGGGGAGCAGCAACCACGTGGGTAAGTGATGGGGAGCAGCAACCACGTGGGTAAGTGTTGGGGAGCAGCAACCACGTGGGTCAGTGTTGGGGAGCAGCAACCACGTGGGTAAGTGATGGGTAGCAGCAACCACGTGGGTGAGTGTATGGGAGCAGCAACCACGTGGGTAAGTGTTGGGGAGCAGCAACCATGTGGGTGAGGCAAGCAAGCAGGTCCCAGCCAGCGCACAGCAGGGGTGGCAGTGCGCCGTGTGAGTGGAGGGAGGGAGTGGTGCGAGTGAGTCTTAGCAGCTGGTTGTTCTCTTCGTAGGCTTGAGTGCATTTGTTTCCCTCCCAGGCTCATGGGGCTCTCAGGCTGATCATACCACATCTCCACCGCCTTTTTCTCCCTCTTTTTTCCGTCCCCCCGCCCCCCCTCCCCCTCTCTTCCCTTTCATCCCCTTTCCCCCTTCCCCTGCACACATCCCCCACCCAATTGCATTGCACGCCCTACCCATTACAGGCCACTTCCTGCTGACCAACCTGCTGCGGCCGAAGCTCAAGGAAACCGCCAAGCAGGAGGGTGCAGAGGCGCGCATCGTGATCGTCTCCTCCGCCGCCCACCAGTTCCCGTACCCGGGTGGCATCCGCTTTGATGCCATCAACGCCAAGGAGGAGTACGACTCGATGAAGGCGTACGGGCAGTCCAAGCTCGCTAATGTCCTGCATGCTAGAGAGCTGGCACGACGGCTCAAGGTGCGTGGCTGTGGGAGAGGAGGGTGTGTGCTTGAAGGAGTGGGTGTCTGTCAGTCTCAGTGTGTGTGTGTAGGTGGGTGGGTGGGTGGGTATGTATGTGTACGGGTGTGTGCGTGAGTGGGAGGAAGGGGAGAAGTAGGCAGGGGAAACGTGCCAGAAAAGCACTCTCTCATGCCAGTCTCAAACCTTCCATAAAAAACCTCTTCCTCTTTGTCCCAACTCTCCCAACCCTCCCCTTTTGAAAACCCCTGTGCAGATATGACAGTGAACGCGCTGCATCTGGGTGATTGACCCTCAACAGAGGGAAACCCGCTTCCCTCACCAACACCATCCCTCACCCTCCCCCTTCCCCTCTCTCGCCTTCCCGTCTCTCCCTTTTTCCGTGTGAGCAGGAGGAAGGCGCAGGTGTGACTGTGAACGTGTTGCACCCGGGGGTGATCGACACCAACCTCTCGCGCCACATAGCGCCGCCGGGGACCATCTGGCACACCCTCGGACGTACGTGGGCTGGATGGTTGGGCTGGTGGGCGGGTGGTTGGGCGGGTGGGCGGGTGGTTGGGCGGGTGGTTGGGTGGGTGGTTGGGCGGGTGGTTGGGCGGGTGGTTGGGCGTGTGAGTGCGTGGGTGGGTGGGTAGGTGGATGGGTGGGAAGGGAAGAGTGTGTGAGGGCATGCCGCATTGGGTCTGCAGAACCCCTCGTTTGCTGAGGATCAAGCAGTACAATCTGCGGACCAGGGTGAACCAGCTGTGAGCCAGCTCACAGAATAGGCAAGTGCACTAACTAGCTACCATATAACACAACTGGTCCGAGGCCTGGTACGTTCGGGTCTGAGCCACTTCTGCAGGTCCGCCATGGAAAATGGCAGGGGTTGATGCTGGTCTGTCAGACCAGTCTGAGAAAGCAAGTGAGACGTGGTTTGGACCTGGTTCGTCGGACTGGCCCTTGGTCGGGGGATTACGGGTTCCGCGGACCTAATGTAACCTTGTGGTACAAGGCAACGCCTTTCGTGCCTCCATGCCAGAGTGCTGTCGGGTACTGTCTGGCACACCCTGGGACGTAGTTCATGGGATGGGTGGGTGGGTGGTTGGGTGGGTGGGTGGGTGGCTGGGTGGGTGGTTGGGGTGGAAAGAGGGGGAGGTGAGGCATCTGAGGGGCGGATGGGTTGATGGAAGCTGTTTGGCACTATCTTGGACATACCAGCATGCTTGATTGCATGCGCTCGTTCTTCATCCACAGTAATCCCCGCTTGCTGCTCGCAGCCTGCTACCGTGTCGGCTTGGCTGAGCACCCATTGTTGTCATACTACCACTCGTCCTGTGCTTGTGCCTCTCCACTGCCGCCCTGCCATGCTGTGCAACCACCAGGGGGAGCGTACAGCCTGGTGTTCCAGTGGTTCATGAAGACCATTCCTCAGGTACCCTCCACCTCCACCTACTTTATACCTCGTCTCACTGCACTTCGCCGTACATTACCTTAGGGGAGTGGTTAAAGTAGCTCTTCACCGCACTGCACACACTCTCGACTACTCACACTCTCTCTCTCTGAAGCCACTCTCACATCGTGCCGCCTCGAGGCACACACCCTGTGCCTCGCCCCCCACCCCCCCCCCCCCTACACACTCCTTGCACCTCCACCTGACCGCCCCATATCCTCCTCTCCCCACTCTCCTCTCCTCCCTTCTCTCAGGGTGCGGCCACCTCATGCTTCCTGGCGGCGCACCCCTCAGTGGCGGGTGCAAGTGGGGGCTACTATGCAGACGCGCGGGCAGCTGAGGGCAAGGCGACGGTTTTGAGCAAGGACATGGAGCTGGCTGGGAAGCTGTGGGAGCTGAGTGAGCAGATGGCGAACAAGGAGTAATGCTGAATGGTGTGTTTTTAATACGCTTCAAAAATGGTTCTTGAGGCGTCTAAAAGAGCAAGGGGCGGTTCTGAGCAAGGACAAGGGGCTGGCTGGGAAGCTGTGGGAGCTTAGTGAGCAGATGGCCAGCAAGGAGTGATGCTGATTGGTGTGGTATGAGGGAGAGAGTGGAAGAGATTGGGAGAGAGTGGGAGAGAGTGAGAGAGTGGAGGAGTGAGGGTGAGAGTGTGAGTAGTGGGCAGTGCATGTGTGGGTGAATGACTTGGGAGTAGGCTTGGTTCTTGCGCAGGCTGGGTTACATCTCAGGGCGCAGGCAGCTCGATGGGCAGAAGCTTGTTGCATTGTAAATCACAGCAAGCAGTGCAGCTAGGAAGTGGAGACGCTGTGGGAGTGAGCAATGCTGGACGTAGGTCGGATGACTGGGAGAGCAAGGATGATGATGTATGCGGGTGTATGGTTGATGGTGGTTATGCGTTAGGGCGTGTTGTTACAACCCCTTGTCACGCAAACCTGTTGTCACCTTCGCGTCGAACCGTACAGAATACGCACTTAACCGCAAGTTGTCTACAATGAAACATATTTAACCACACAAAGCTGTCAAGATGTGTCTGAGGGCATGTTCCTACTTATCAGGCCAACCTCTTATCAAGCTCGCGTCACAGCACACTGAAATTTCCCTAAACCCAAAAACCTTCGCAAATTTTACCAGGCAAAAATGCGAAGCTGGTACGAGGTGTCCCTGATAAGGGGCCTTAGGAACATGCCCTGATAAGCGGCGAACAAACATACCTTTACAAATGAGTGGAGGTTACAGACCTGGCTTCTCAGAATGTGAACAGTGGAATGGAATGATTAGTAACAGTTGTGATACAAATGCCTATTTAAAACTAGAAGCAGATTGCCTAGTGGGCGAGGTCTCCGGTAAGGAGACGCGGGGCCAGAGGTTGAGCCGATGCGCGGCGTACCGGACCGCAAACGGCCACAGAAAATGGGGGGCAGCCGCATGGATCATGGAGGTACAAGCGACCTCCATGACTAAGCCAATGCGGCGCTCAGCAACCCCATTCTGCTGCGGAGGGGACGGAAGCGTGAAAGTCTGGCGGATGCCGTGCTCCGCACAGAAGGCTGCCAAGAGGTCTGAGGAGATCTCACCACCTCTGTCAGAGTGCAGACGCAGGACAGGAAAGTCCGACTGGAACCGCTCGCGGAGCTGGAGACGAACAGCGCGGATCCAGGGGATCAAAACATCAGGGACCTCCCCTTTGTGCTGCAAGGGGAAGACCGTGGTGTAACGCGTGTAGTCGTCGACGACCAGCAGGAAGTACCGCTCGTGGCCCTGTCCACGGACGCGGGCTGGGCCCCACACGTCCAGGTGGAGAGTCTGCACGGGAGCCTCTGTGGGAGGGAACGAGGAGGAGTGAGGAGCGGCGCGCTGCCGCCCCTTGACACAGGGAAGACAGGGAGGAGCAGGCGAGGGTGGGAGGGGAGGGAGAACCCTGGGAAGACCAGAGACAAGGACACGGCAGTGCATGCTACGAAGGCGCGGCACCGAGGGGTGACCAAGGCGGTGGTGCCAAAGAAGGGTCAGGTGGGACAAAGCGCGACACGAGCAGGGGGCCGCTAGCTGACCCGACGCAGACGCAGACGCAGCGACCTGAGGGGACACAGTAGTCAGTGTGTACAGACTCGAGCCAGGCGCACGGGGAAACGTGGCCAGGTGCCGGCCCGTCCGGGAGCACGTACAGTGGGTCACGCGCTGACCTCCAGGAGTGAACTGGTCAACCCACTGGTCCTGGAGGTCAGCACCACTCACCAAGTTCGTAGAGAACGAGGGGAGGTGAAGACCTGACAGGGAGCCAGACGCGACCGCCGGACACGGCAGGACCGTGGAGGAGTGCGCAAGGACTGGACCCCCAGAGGGGTCTGCCAGGGAGACTGGAACCGGCCGGCTGAGCAGTGTGAGGGTGGTGATGTCGTGAAAGAAGGAGCAGGAAGCACCCGAGTCAAGTGTGAAGGTGTACAAGGCCTCAGCAGGCGCAGTACCAGAGAGAGCAGACTCACCAGCACCTGGAGCAGCAGCCTCACCAGCACCTAGAGCAGGAGACGCACGAGCACCTAGAGCAGCAGCCTCACTAGCACCGAGAGAAGCAGGCTCTATACCTGGGTCAGGCGGTACGCACATGTAACAGGCACGGTCAGCACTAGTAGGCAATGCATACATGGCAGTGAGAATAGCATCATAGTCAAGAGCAAATATATCTACCCTCTGCCCAAGCAGCTCCACCCAGTCGGGGAGCTCAGCCTCGTCGCCAAACTCGGTACGCCAGGCGTCGCTCAGACGGGCGAAGCAGCAGGACTGTGTGTGACTAAGCGTCCCGCAAGCCTGACCAGTCCGATCACCTGTGCGAATGACGTACGGGCAGCGAACGGTACTCAAAGACGCTCTAGTCTGAGCGTACCACTCACGAAGCTGCTGGGGCGTAAGTGTCTCGCGCGGACGCCGCTGCAGCTGCAGCTAGCCACTGCCAGACGCTCCCGACTGACCAGCTCCACGGCGACAGCCACGACGGCTACTGCCACAACCCCAACTAGCGTACCACTCACGAAGCTGCTGGGGCGTGAGAGACTCGCGCGGACGTCGCTGGAGCTGCATCGTGCCTCGCCAGTAGCAGCACCAGCGCGGGCAGGGCAGGCGCGGCAGGAAGTCAGGAAGGCAGGCAGGCCGGCAGGAAGGCAGGCAGGCAGGCAGAGGGCGGGAAGGCAGGCAGGCAGGCAGAGGGCGCGGGAGTGCACGAACAAGGCAGGTGCTCACCAGTGGCGGGAAGGGCAAGCGCTCGCCGGGCGAGTAGGGCCGGTGCTCGCCGCGCGGCGGCAGGGTAGGCGCACGACGGCGGCGACGGCAGGGACGCAACCGCGACTGCAGAGTAGGGCCGCGGGAGTTGCAAGGCGGGGCCGCGTCAGCGGCAGGTCGGGGCCGCGTCAGCTGCAGGGCGGGGCCGCGTAAGCGGCAGGTCGGGGGTGCGACAGCGTCCTGGCGGGGCCGCGACCTGGCGGGGCTGCGTCGGCGGCAGGGTGGGGCCGCGACAGCAGCAAGGCGGCGTCGCGTTAGCGGCCTGGCGGGGCCGCGTCGGCGGCCAGGCGGGGCCGCGTCGGTGGCAGGGCGCGGCCGCGTCAGAGGCAGGGCGGGGCCGCGCCGGCGTTAGGGCGCGGCCGCATCAGAGGCAGGGCGGGGCTGCGGCAGTGGCAGGGCGGGCCGCGACAGCGACCTGGCGGGGCCGCTTCGGCGGCAGGGCGCGGCCGCGTCAAGGGAAGGGCGGGGCCGCGTCAGCGGCAGGCGGGCCACGACAACGACTTGGCGGGGCCGCGTCAGCGGCAGGGCGGGGCCGTGACTGCGGCAGGGCGGAGCCACGTCGGCGGCAGGGCGGGGCCGCGACCGCGGCAGGGCGGGGCCGCGTCAGCGGTAGGGCGGGGCCGCGTCAGCGACCTGGCCGGGCGGCACTCAGGCCTGACGGGCCTGCAGGGGCGGCTCGCGGGCCTGACGGGCCTGCAGGGGCGGCTCGCGGGCCTGACGGGTTTGCAGGGGCGGCTCGCGGGCCTAACGGGTCTGCAGGGGCGGCTCGCGGGCCTGACGGGTCTGCAGGGGCGTCGCACGGGCCTTACGGGCTTGCAGGGGCGGCGCGTTGGCCTAGAGCAGCAGGAGGCAGCGCGAGGGCTGCAGGACGGCGCGCGCAGTGCAGCACGTCACGAGGCAAGGCAGGCAGGCACAGGACAACACGTGGGGTAGCGCGGTAACCGCAACGGTAGGTGGGCCCGAAAAAAAAGGACGGTCCTACAGACCTAATGCTCTGATACCATGTTAGAATCTAGCAGCAGGAAATGAATGAACTATGAAGGAATCGGGTACAAGTATGAAACCCTAAACGGGGCTGTACCCCATATTGGCTACCCCACTACAACCTACACATATATACCATGCATATACTTTGACATCGTGCAGTCTCACGCCGCTGTCCTTCAGATGGGCGACCAAAAGCAGGTTCGCCTGCACTCCCGGGACGTAGAGCACATCGGGGATGAGGACTTGTTTCCCGGCCTCCATGTGCAGAGCGACGGTGCCACAACCTTCGACGATCTCTAGTGCCCCGTCGAAGCCACGCACGTGGCGCACGTCACCCCTGGGCTGCATGTCGACAAGGCCTCCTTCGTCGCCATCAGATGGTGAGAGCAGCCACCATCACTACCATCAGGTTCGCCTGCATAGCGGAGGGATTGCCGTGAAGTCTTAGCCAGTCTCCGATGCCGACGATACGGTCGACTCCACAACGTCCACCATCGAGCACGACGCCTCTGTCAACCCAGTTGTGCGTTGGCCCGTCCTCGCTTGGGCGGAGCCGACTTCGTAGTCGGGTGTGCGGAGAGTGCAGCCTTCCAACTGCAGTGGTCGACGCCGACATGAGCGCGCAGGTCGACATGTCGGTCAACCTGCACGGGGTCTATGCGAAGCCGCCGACGACAGGTGCCAGCGGCCGACTTCAACCGTGGTCGATGAGGGTGGTCGTCGACCTGGGAAGGGGGGGGGCGCCGACTTGGGGATGTCGCCGACCTTGCGAAGTCGGCGGCCCAGATCCGCTGTGGTCGACGGGAGGAGTTCAACAAGGGAGGGAGCCGACCTGGGAGGATGCCGGCCTGGTGGCGTCGACGTGGTTGCCCGGTCGATCAAGTTACCCGGACGATGTGGATCTGCGGAGGTGTGCGATTGTCGCCCAGGTGGTTCTTGCGAAGCCGACCTCGGACGTGGTATCCCAAGGTCGACGTGGCGGATCAGGTGCAGTCGTGCGCACGTGGTCGGCTTAGCGTCTGCGTTGTGCACGTGATGGGGCACAATACGCCAACCAGCTGTGAGCACCAGCGAAGCGGGTGCGCTGCTGTCATGCAGGTGCAACGCTGTGCAGCCGCCCTACAGCAGCGTTGGCACGCCGTTGACTTGCAACGCTGGCAGG